TGATGGCGAGGATGGTCTTTAACTCCTTTTCGTCAGAATTCTGCCTAAGGCCTTTGGATGGGATCATTTTAGTATTAAATTAGAGTTCTTGTAGCTTCTATAATTTGCAATTTGCCAGTTGACTGGGTACATGCTCCCAGGCTTTCAGTAATGTGTACATTCAATAAATCGGAGACTAAACAAATTAATGCTATGATTCTTATTTAAAGAATGTGATAAAAAGCAGAGAAAAAAAAATAAACTTGCTTTAGGCTGCACAGGTTGATGGCAGAATTCAAAATAGAAGAGAGAATGAGTTTGGATCCTATGTTTGGACCACATTAGTTATTATTAGATATTCTTTTCAAAGGCTGACCCTTCAGGAGCTATTGCCACACCAAAAAAAAATCAATTCTGACTTTTCCTGAATGCCAGTAACACAAGGAAGAAAATGTATTTGGCTAATTGGGAAACATCTGATTCCACCTTTGGGGGGATCTGATTTGGTATTGCTTTAACAAGGGTCAAAGGTGAAACTTCATGACAAGCCTATGAGGAAAGGAGTGCTATTTTTCAGGAAGAGGAAAAGGGAGACAGATAAACAAAAGTGTGCTGTTCATTTTAAGATGAGAACAAAATCATGTTTCCCACAGCCTTCAAGGATGGATGCAATCTTCCTCCACAGAATAAATACATCCTGGGAAAAATGAGACTAAGCACAGACTGAAAAGAAGCTGCCCCTGGATTCCTTGGCTCAGGACTCTGATATCTCCCATCACATAGTCTCCTCTGACTCTCACCCTCCTGCCTCCTTTTATCAAGACCTTCATAATTACATTGGGCCCACCCAGGTTTCCCAGGATAATCTCCCCATTTTAGCATCCTTAACTTGACTGCATCTGCAGCCTTTTGCCACAGACAGTAACACATTCACAGGTTTGGAGCATTAGGTTGTGAGTATTCTGGGAGAAAGACGTTAAAATGTAAATAAACTACCACATTGTATTCACATTGTGGAGGTCACATTGTTGAGTTCATATTGTATTAACTTGGGGTCCATGTGCCATTCCCACTGGTCCAAACACTGATCAATAAATGTGCATTCATGGGAACCACTCTCCACAATGTCACCTATGGAGAACTTATAATCACCTTTTGTCCCATTTAATTTCGGTGCATTAGTTCAAATTAAATGCCCAAGCCACAGGTTTTTCCCTAATTTAGCATCTTTGTCAATTTCAATAATTTGAATGACATAAGAGTGTAATCACTTGTGTGCATTTCTAGATTATGCTAGGAGGTTGGTTTTATGATTTTCAAGGCCCTTGCTCTTGTGATACATTAGGACACATGCTCTGCTTTCCTTGTACTCCTCCTGCAATCAGCAGATGTTTTCTAAGTACCTACTAGGGGCTGCCGTGTCCTAGTTGCTGATCCCAGAGTTTGCTCGGCAGGATTCACATGCATACACAAGAAAAGAGCCAGCCTTTGAACTGTTAACTCCAGGGAACATCAACCACCAGTTAGGGACTCACTTTGTATGTCTCCCATTCAAATTTGCACAAAGAGAATCTGGGTTACTCGAGTGGTCACTATCATTATAGAGAGTGCCCCTGTGGAGTGCAGTGGTCCTGGGTCCTGCAGGTTCTCAGAATAAGGCAGTGTATACAGAAGGCAGTGTGCCTGGTGTATCTAAGAAAGAAAACAGATGGTAATGCTTTTGTTGCATATTTCTCTTAACATCATTCCTTCTCTCATCTTTCTCCTTTCTTATATCTGGATCCATGTCAACCAAAATTCACCTTTTAATTGCAAACTAGTGTTTTGTCATCGCCCTTTTAAAATCTCCTGCTTCTTTCATTTTGTTGAGTATGTAGATCAGATGCTTTCTAATATTCTGTTTTCTAGTGTAATTTTTAAGTGTAGTTTACCTTTGCATCAGTGGTTTCTTGTTTTATGTTCAATGATGCCAAGGTTCATATTAGATTACTTTTGCTTTTTTCTTCCTTGATTGACCAAAAGTGCATACAGAGTTGGTGCTTATCACACATAGGGTCGATGAATTTCACTTTGTCTCCTTTGTCAACTGTGCTTATCAGAATTATCCTCTCAATTTTGAAGGCATTAATTAAATATTTGGTGTCTACCTGGTGTAGTTTGCCAGAACTTATTTTCTGAATTCATCTTCTGGTCTGCCTACATAGCTATGGATTCCTAAATATTTAGATATTTAGAAGTAATGTGTAGTTTTGATGTCTCTGTGTTGTTTAGTCACTAAGTTGTGTCCGATTCTTTTGTGACCTGATGGACTGTAGCCCACCAGGCTCCTCTGTCTATGAGATTTTTCAGGCAAGAATACTGGAGTGGGTTGTCATTTCCTTCTCCAGGGGATCTTCCTGACTCAGGGATCGAACCCACGTCTCTTGCATTGGCAGGTGGATTCTTTAACCCTGAGCCACCAGAGAAGCCCAATGTGTAATTTATTGGTTGTCCAAAATAGCATCAAAAGACTACAAGTTCACAAGTTCCCTGATTATAAGGCTCTTTATGTGTCCTCAGCCACTCACCCCATGGACCGTAGCCCAGCAGGCTCTTCTGCCCATGGAATTTTTCTTGCAAGAATACTGGAATAAGTTGCCATTTCCTTCTCCAGGGGATCTTCCCAACCCAGGGATTGAATCCACATCTCCTGCACTGCAGACAGATTCTTTACCACTGAGCCACTGAGGAAGCCTGGTGAACATTTATGTATATAGATAAGTTGAAAAGACTAGAGACTCCGTATAAACCAACATTTATATTTTTCAATAAAGGTACTAAGGAAATTCAACAGAAAGAAGGATGGATTTATCAACTAATGGCCTAGAAAAATGGCATTTTCTTCTTTTTTTAAGTTTATTTTTAATTGGAAGATAATTACTTTATAATATGATGTTGGCTTCTGCCATAATCAACATGAGTCTCTGAGGTTTTCAATTATTGTCTTTTCATATTCCAAGGTGCCACCCCCCCACCAGGCATTCACTTCCACAGTAGCAACATTGAATACTTGGAATGTGGGCCTAGAATCTTGATAGAAAAAGAGCTTGCCTCAAGTGGGTGCTACTGCAGTTGTTTGAAAGAGTTAGTCACTCAGTTGTGTCCAACTCTTTGCGATCCAGTGGACTTTAGCTCGCCAGGATCCTCTGTCCAAGGGACTTTCTAGGCAAGAATATTGGAGTGGATTGCCATTCCCTTCTCCAGGGAATCTTCCCAACCCAGGAATCTAACCCAGGTCTCCTGCCTGGCAGGCAGATTCTGTACTGTCTAAGCCACCATTGTAGCTGCAAATCAAATTTGCTTCTAGTGAGACTACAAAGATAGAAGGGCAGAGAGTTAAGCTTCCAAGTTTCCTCAAACAGCTCAGAGTGGATACTGGGCCGCTCCCCCACAGACAGCCAGCTAGTTCCCTCAGCCTCGGGGCCTTTAGGGGTGGAGTTTTGAGCAGCAAGAGCACAAGTAAGAGATGGTGCAGCCCCAGCTGGGTCCCAAGCTGGACAGGAAGCACCTTCCAGGTGACTATCCTCAGCAGGTGCCTGACAGAACAGCCCATCCCGCATCCCCTGGGGTCAGACTCACTGGCGAGCCCACAGGAGACACTCCCAGAAATATCTAGTGGGGACTTCATAGCGAGTTACAGTTTCACAGAACCAGATTACACCAGAGTCAGGGACGTTTGAAGTTACCATCTTTAGCAATTCTCCACAGGCTGGTCAGGGAAGGGGCAGCTCAATAACAATAACTACAGAAACAAACGAACAAAGAGCACGTCCTTTAGGCTGCTCCCTTAAGTAGATGTCAAGTTTACTAGTGGTAAGAGGGCCCTCTTTCAATTCATCTTGAGCAGTGGGAGCAGGGACAAACATAGCCTCACCACATAAGAAAAAAAAAAACAACAGTGATGATAACGGAACAAATGGATATATATATATATATATATATATATATATATATATCCTATATAAAACCTCAGCTCAAGGTACTGGGATCAGCAAAACAATAGCCAAGGAAGCCACCTCTCAATTTTAGGGAGTGAGTGGGCACTGTGAGGTGATTTTTCTGAGTTAAGAAGTCCAATGGACAGCGAAGAAAATGGCCCCTCTTAGACGAGGAGACTTGAAGATCTCAGCTTCCCGCAATTTCTTGGGTGGACTCTCACAGCAAAGATTTTATTTACTGTTTCTTACATAGATTCAAGGACTTCCCAGGTGGTTCAGTGATAAAGAATCCTCCTGCCAAGCAGGAGACCTAGGTTCCATCCCTGGATTTGGAAGATCCCCTGGAGAAGAAAATGGCAACCCACTCCTGGGATTACTTCAAGTATTGGAGTATATTACTCCAAAAATACTCCAAGTATTCTTGCCTGGAAAATCCCGCAGAAAGAGGGGCCTGGCGGGCTACAGTCCATGGAGTCACAAAGACTCAGACATGACTGACTGAGTGCGAACATTAGAGAGGTTCAAACTTTGATCGTGGCATCTGTGCCCAGCGGCTGCAGAAGCCGGGGAGACAGGGTTTTTGAAGTTGACATTGTTACAGCACTCCGTGAGCAGTGTAGAAATATTACCTGGGACGTGAATGGATAGAGAAGGCTTTCTCTTTCCTGTAGTTCAAGTTGTAGGTATAAAGAGTGAGACTATCCTATTGAAATGATGGAGAAATAAGCTAAAGACACCTCAGAAGATACAAACAGCATGGTTATGAAATAGAGATGTCTTATATGGAAATAATCAAATCACCTCAGAAGCAAGAGTCACCACATTTCCCTGTATCCAGGCCTGATAACAAACCAGCAAGCAAAGCATAAGCAAATCCTGCAGCTAGGAAAATGGCAAAGTCAAAATTAAGCCAGGGAAAATTTGCATTGGGAGGCAGGTATTTTCTTGCATGAAACACTAATGGGGCCAGGAACCTGCTCCCAAACTGGAAACTGTGGCAGAGGTTCTGAGTACATGCCCAGGAAGTTTCTTTGGAATAGAAGGATGATAACCAGCCAACTCTCTGTCTTCTTCATGATCATCTATATGCTTGAGTTCTTGACAATAACTGGGCAGAGCAGCCTGATTGTTGTAGCGCTGGGCAGAGAGTGGGTGCAGGCGCAAAGGCTGCCACCTGTGGACATGATTCTCACCAGCCTGAGCATCTGCCGCTTCTTTCAACTGTGGTCATCGATGTTGTACAACTTTGGCTCCCACTTCCACCCTAACTACAATTTTTTGTATTTCGGGATCATCTGGGAATTTACTAACATCCTTTCCTTCTGGTTGACCAGCTTGCTTGCTGTCTTCTATTGTGTGAAAATCTCATTCTTCAGCCACCCCATCTTCCTCTGGCTGAAGTGGAGAATTGTGAGATTGGTTCCTCGGCTGTTGCTGGGCTCTCTGTTGATTTCTTGTGTGTCTATCATCTTTTCAACTACTAGTTATTACCTCAATATTCAATTCATCTCCATGAAGCATTTCCCTAGAAACAGCACCATGCTTGAGAGACTTGAGGCATTCCTGTGGGATTTTTCCACACTGCAGAAAGTGGTTGTGTTGGTTATTCCTTTCCTCCTGTTCCTGGCCTCCACAGTCTTGCTCATGGCGTTATTATCCCGACATCTGAAGCAGATGAAAGACCTTCACACGGGCCGCTCCAACTCCAGCCTGGAAGCTCACTCTGCCGCCCTGAGGTCTCTTGCCGTCTTCCTCACCTTGTTCACCTTTTATTTTCTGACCGTGCTCCTCTCCATCTTGGATGTCCTATTTAATAAAGAGTCCTGGTTCTGGGCCTGGGAAGCTATCATCTATGCATTAGTCTCTATTCATTCTACTTTACTAATGCTGAGCAGTGCCAAACTTAAAAGAGTTTTAAAGGCAAGGTGCTGGAGCCTAGAAGCTTCCTGAGGCACAGGGGACAAGATTTCTGGGCAAATGAGCTTTTGCACTGATACAACTAATACCAATAACTGAACTGGCAGGATATCAACAATCCCCCGTGTGACAATGAGAAACCGTAAACCTCAGCCTCATTCTCTTTGCCCACAGCCATCTATCTCCAAACAACCAGGCTCCTCTGTTCCATGCCACTTCTTCCTTCTCCTGTCCACAATCCCCAGGTTGGTGCAAACTCTCTCATGACTTCCTCTACCTCTCTACCCCTGGGATCTTTCTCCCAGTATATTCAACACAAGAGATCGAAAATCATGGTTTCCCCATTTTGTTTTTATTTGACCTAGTCTGTGACTGCCAATTCTTCACATACTAATATGAGTCTCTTCCCTATAAGAGTTTATTGCCCATACCCTGAATGTTCTCCATACTAAATCCCTTAATTTACCTTCCCTACTTTAGTCAGGAAAAGATCTTGACTATCCCTCTCTGCTGCTTCTGAACTTTTATCCTATAATATAATTTTCCTTATTTGTGTCTCTTCCAAATACAGTGCCTTTATGCTTTAACACTCAAATTTTAACTCTTTCATTTTCATTTGCTAAGACATTACATGTTCCCCAGAAAAGGAGATGACTTACCCAATCTAGGTTCATCTTGGAATTTGTTCAAATATTGGCAATTTAATTTGATTGGTTGTTTCCCTGGCATAGGAAACAGCAACCAATTCAAGTATTCTTACCTAGAAAATTCTGTGGATCGAGGAGTCTGGCAGGCTACAGTCCATGGGGTCACAAAGAGTCAGATACGACTGAGAGACTAAGCACATACACACGTGCACACACACACACAGTTTCCATTGGCTGGATTCTTGCCTCTTCAGTGTACTACAAAATGGAATGAAATTTCTAGAAATATTCCCAGATTGAGGCTTAGCTGGTTTTCTTCCATGCATAACCCAGATGTCAGCTGGAACGCCTCTTCATAAAATCTTAGTGACATTGGCTTAAGCCTTCTATAATCTTCTTTGCTCTCTGACAGTCTAAAGTTCTTTCCAAATGGACAAGAATATAGGAACTACACAGGAACTAGTTAAAATCACCTTTAGGACTTACATCCTTTTCAGTTTCCCCAATCCCACAGGTTTCTCTCATACTCTTATCTTGGTAGGACCAAGTCCTACCTTATCCTCATGGCATCTCTCTCCTTCTTTCTTTCCTCTCCACCCTCACCCACCAGCAACAAAATTCGTAACTGTCAGCTCACAGATCTTTGAGTCTCAGCTTCCATAAGCTCCAGCACTTATCCAGGTATTGTTCCTAAGGACAACTTCATCTCTTAAAGCTTTCTGATGCCAGAGTTAAAAATACACTTTGTTCACCTCATATATATTAGGGATGTCTGGTGAACTGAATTTCTGGTTTTGCCATGAGAAGACTTAAGAAAGCAGATATCTCAAGTTTGACTACAAAAGAAGGCTTAGTCCTGGAAGGAAATGGAAATTCTGATCTGGTCTTGGGTCTATCACTCTGATTTGTCTCATCATCTCTTGAATTCATATTTGAAACCAAGGGTGTGAAATATAAGTACAAATTGAAAGGACTTTTTCCAAAGACTCTGTTCCATCTGATATATCTCAGTGACATTTCTGCTATTGCATTTGGCATTTCCCAAGGCCCAGTGGTTCAAGTGGCAGAAGGTGGGACAGAACTCAGCGAATGCAATAGTCAATTGAGTAGAGTCATAACTAGATGAAATGGCACTGGGTAGAAAAAAGAAAAGTAGAAGGTAGAAATCAACTTTGTGTTATCTGATCAGAGACCCCCAAGAATGCTTAGGAGACTGGTGGGTTGGTGTGTTGCTAGAGTTTGGGAGCCTACCAGAACAAGTGGGACAAAAAAGCAACTGAAATTTGAGTGGTTGCTATTGGTCATTTGTATCCACATATTGCATGTTCTATAGTCTCAGAAAGTTGAAAGAAACAGAAACTGTATTCCTCACATATGTGTCAATAGAGAAAATGGACAAAATAAAAGACTTCTCCCTCTGTTCCCAACTATCAAATACACAGATATTCTTCTAGAAGCTGTTAAATATCTGTAATACTTTCACTGTCTCCTTTGAGGAAGTTGCAATGGAAAAGGTATCCAGGATATGCATGAGTTGGGGATATAAGAGCCAGTGGAAGGGATCCAGAAATTAATAAAATAAAGTGAAGGCACAGAAATAACAACCTCCCCTTATCATTGTGGCACCTAATAGTTCACAAAGAGCTTCCACATGTATTTGATCATTTTTTTTTTTTTTTGTATTTAATCATTTCCAAATGGACAAGGTAGGTCATGATAATCCAATCCTGGGAAACAGAGCTACAAAAGTCATGTGAATTACTTAAGTTAATACTGTTGGCTAATACCAGACCTAAGAGTTAAAGGAAAAGGGATGGAAACCAAGAGGTAAGTTTTAAAGACTTGAAGAGTTTTAATTTGGAAAAAGATGGTTAGGATTTAAAAGGGAGATACTTTACAAAGAATAACAGAGGTGTTTGGAGCAAGAACAAGGATACCATTGAGAGCTTGAGTTAGCGCAGTCACCAGTGTCCTATGTACCTGTATTATCTAACTTGTAAGCAGTCTATCTCATACAACACTCATTATTCATAGTACCTGCTGAGATGACCATTTGATTTTTATCTTTCATTCTATTAATATCACATTTATTGATGTGTGCTTGCTGAATATCCTTATATCCCTGGGATAAACTCTTCTTCATTGTGATGTTTGATCCATTCAATGTACTGATGAACCTGATTTGCTTATATTTTGTTGAGGGTTTCAACTTTGTGTGCATCAGTGTTCTTGTCTTGCTTTGGTATCAAGATAAGCTAGCTTCATAAAATTACTTGGAAAGTGTTTCCTCTTCTTTAATGTTTTGAAAGAGTTCAAGAAAGATTAGTGTTAATTCTTTAAATGTTTGATAAGCTTCACCAGTAAAATCATCTGGTCTTTGGTTTTTTCTTGTTGAGAGGTTTTTAATTACTGATTTAATCTTCTTAATCATTATTGATCTGTTCATATTTTCCCTTTCTTCATGATTCAGTCTTGGATACTTTTATGTTTCTAGAAATTTATGCATTTCTTCCAGGTTACCTAATTTTTGGTATGTAATTATTCATAGTAATCTCTTATGACCCTATGTGACTCTGTGGTGTCATTTGTAGTGTCTCCCCTTTCATTTCTGATTTCATTCATGTCTTTTTTCCCTTGGGTTTGTCAATTTTTTCTTTTAAAAAGCAGCTAATAGTTTTACTGATCTTTTCTATTATATTTCTAATGTCTATTTCATTTATTTCCATGCTGATCTTTGTTATGATTTTCTTTCTACTTACTTTGAGCTTAGTTGTTCTTCTGTTCCTAGCTTTTTGAGATGTAAAGTTAGGTTATTCAATTGGCATCACTCTTTTTCATAAACATATGCATTTATCACTGTGAATTTTCCTTTAAGAACTGCTGTTTGCAGCATCCCATAGATTTTGGTCATTGTGTTTTCATTTTCATTTGTTTCAAGATATTTCTTAATTTCCTTTTTGATTCCTTCTTTGATCCATTTGTTATTCAGGATTATGTTGTTTAGTTCCTGCATGCTTCTGAAATTTCCAGCTTTCTACTTGTTGATTTACAGTTTTGTACTATAAATCAAAATGGAGCTATTCTTAGGAACCTGTGGAATCTATAATACCCAGAAGAGGTGAGAAATGATGCTCTCTGGTACATGTTTGAAGGCAATGTTGGAGAAAAACTTGTTTTTTCTGAGCTGTCTATTCAATAAAATTGTTATAGGAGACATAAAAGTCAATAAGATGCTAAATGCCCCTACATTTTCTGCGATTGTTTATCAGGTGCTGTGTATTACATTCTTCTTATAAATCGACCCTGAGATGACTTCTTTTCTCAGAAAGAACTAAGTCAAAGGCCAAGGCAAAGGTTTGCTTCTGATAACCCTTTTACTGCCACCACAGCTTTCATGAGTCCCTTTACTTGAATCCAGATAGAGTGGCTTTATATTTTGGACTCGAGCACAAAAGTTTCAGTGTTCAGTAGCTCATGAGTAGATCACTGAGTTCTGCCCTTTTTTCCATTTTGGTGTTTGTATTTATACTTTGTTAAAGGTGTTACTGTTCTTGTGTTAACGGTTCTCATTGTTCTTGTGCGTGTGCAAGTTCAGTTGTATCTGACTCTGCGACCCCATGGACTGTAGCCTGCTGGCTCTGTCCATGGAATTTTCCAGGCAAGAATATTGGAGTGGGTTACCATTTCATACTCCAGGAGATCTTACTGACCCAGGGATTGAATCCTCATCTCCTGGTCTCCTGCATTGCAGGTAGATTCTTTACCGCTAAGCCACCTGCAAAACCCCCATTGTTCTCGCATTTCTATCAAAAACTATGTCAAGTTCTTTCCAAAATTGTTCTTGATAAAGGTAAAGGTGCAGAAGAGAAAGAAAGACTATCAAAGACAATAGCAGGAGAAGTATTGTAGTAAAAAACCAATCATAACATACCTGGAATTGTAAAACTTTTTAAAAAAATTATCCAGATTTATTTACTTCAATTCCAGAAACACATAATAATGGAATTGGGAAACTTTCCCATAAAGCCCCCAGGAGTACCTACAATAAATTTTACAATCAGTACAAGACAACTTATTCCTAATCATAATGTAAAAATTCATAATGTAAAAATGCTTCCTAATAGGAGGAGGGAAAGCATCATCTTTGATTTATCTAGACAGAGCTTTTAATAGAATCCTTGAGACTCATTCACAATCTTTTAGCCATACCTCAAACTCCCTAAACAACACTTGTTTAGGATGGTGTTCTATTTTTAATAAAACTTACAAAATTGATACTAAGTGTGAATTGACTTTTCGCTAGTTTGGTGGCAAAGATAAAATTGTATAAACTATACTTTTTGCAGTGCTAAGTTTCTTCAAATATTTTTTTAGATAGAATATATC